GTGGGTGGGCTTAGCCCGTCCGAGTAAAACTTGGGTACCCAATGGGTACCCAACTAGAACCTCATGTAGGACTTTGTTATCAATACATTACATTTGTTACCTCCATAAGTCATTAATTAAAAATTTTGACGTTATATTTCTCATAATAATCATAAAGAATATTATCATTATTTATTTTCTTTAAGAAATATATAGGAAACTCATTTTGGACCAAAATGCCTCAGTTTTATTCATAAATAATTTATTGAAGTCCGTATTAATAAAAATGGTTTGAACTAATTCACATTCAAATGTTTGTTCCAAATTTTATATGAACATGATTAAACTATGGTGCAAACACATTCCAACTAAGTTTTAACTAGGGCTGTCAAAATCGGGTCACGGATCGGGTTCGGGTCCAACCTGAAATTGACCAGATATTGTTCAACCCGACCCGTTTTTGCAAACGGGTTTGTTTTCCAAACCCGAACACCGCCCAATTCGAGTAAATTTTATTAATTTTTTTATTTAATTCAATTTATTTAAATATAAATCAAATTAGGTAAGATTTAGTTCAATTAATTTAAAATAAATCAAGATTAATTTAATTTGGGCAATAATGTTTATAATTTTTTGAAATATCATTTACTTATTTCATAAAAAATCCATTAAAACCCTCCTAAATTAATTAAAAACGGGTCAAATCGGGTTGATTTCGGGTTTCCAGGTCAATCCGAACCCGACCCGGTTTTACAAACGGGTCGAAATCCCTAACTCGAACCCGACCCGGTTCGGGTTCGGGTCAACCCGAAATTTTTGGGTCGGGTCGAAATTTTTGATTCGGGTCGGGTCAAATATTGACACCCCTAGTTTTAACCATGTTTTAAACCTACTAGAAGATCATTTCAGTAAGGTTAGTTCTAGATAGAATCAAAATAGTTTCAAACTAGGTTCAAATAAGTTTCTAACCATTCAAATGGTGTTTGAACCTTTTCAAACCAATTTGTAACAAGATATCAAAACAATTTGGATATTTTGAAGCTTAATATAACAAACATATAATCACAATCATAAGCATAGCAATATTGAGTACAACTTAAACTAATCAGTTACAGTTCTATAATAATTACATAAATGGAAACACTTAATTGCTAAACCACATTACATAGAGATTCTTGAAAATTCAGCAAAAAATTAATGAGAAACCTTCTAACATTAAATATAATTGTAGTGCTGTAAATATATGATAAGAAAACTATTCATCATGAAATTGCCCTGCTTTATAAGAATCTTGATTATGGTCTTTCAGCCCACATCAGTTACATCAATGTTGCATTGTATATAGGGGTGTCAAAATGGGTTTTTGAGTTGATTCAGGTCGAACCTGAAATGGATCACCTAGGGCCAAGCAAGTTGACCTGAATCTGATCCAGTTTTGTAAATGGGATTGAAATTCGGGCCTAACCCGCACGGGTTACAGGGTTGACCCGACCCGACCTGTGTGCGAGCAAAAATGCAAGTCCGCCTCGCTGGCACTGCGTGCGGTTCGTGAGGATAGATGAGACTTGAGAACTTGTAGGATCAACACTCGCAATTGCAGGATCACCGGTGCGGATTGTAGACAACGAAGTCTAGATGATTGGGCGCGGAAGCGCTTAACGAGATCGATCTCTAAACGCTAAAGTCCGAACAGACAGTGCAAACACCGAACAAATAGTGCAAACGAGAGATCGTGCTGGATTGGGCTGTGCATGCACGTATGCGGGATCACAGAGTTTGACGCTAGAGAACAGAGTCTGAATGATGGATCGAGGGCTACAGAGGGCTGAGTTCGGGTCATTTCAAGTTGATCATGGGTTTCTAGGTCAACCCATACTCGACCTAGTTTTATAAACGGGTTGGAATCTTAAACCCAAATCTGCCCCTTATGGCAAAGGTGTTGACCCGAACCCGAAATTTTTTGAGTTGAATTTGGGTCGGGTCAAATATTGACACCACTAATTGTATCATTCTCCCACCTTTGAAAGTCTTCTATTCTTCTGTGAGCTACCACTTTCAGCTTCATAATTGAGGGTAAAATAACAAAGCTCTTTATTTCATATGAAACATCAGAAGTTTCCTCATTTCTAAATAGATGTATATTTTGATGGGAAGTAAATAAGGTTCAAAACAAACAAGAAAAAAGCTGAAAAGAACATTAATGAAATGCCACAAAAAATCGCCTTGATTCAGCATGAATCTAAAGGCATATCCTAGTTGGTAACTTCTAAAGTAAAAATTGGGATCATCTAAAAATCAATTTCAGCAAATTTATTATCAAATTGAATGTCTTAGTAAGAAGAGCCCAACGACATCAAAATCAGTTCAATCCAAGCCCAAATGAGCTCAATGTAAGAGCTTAAAGCATAATTGAAATCTCCAAAGCATTAATTGAATAACCAAATAATTTCTAAATATAGCATGTTGATAATCAAATCGAGTGGCTCGAAGAGACGAATCCAATGAGCCCAAGATTGTTTAATTCTGACATCATTAAGGCTCTTAAATTATTGATAAATGCTTCATGATTAAGGGAAAAAATATGAGCCGTCCAATGGAGCACCCCAAAATTACCTTGGATCTTCTAGATATTTAGGGAGCATGCCACTCCTAAAAATCTATAAATATACTCTCTTTTCTCACATGAAAAGGGGGGAGAGACCATTGGAAGCTTGGACCTTAGGCTGGAGACTCAATAAAGCACTCAGTTTTAAAGAATACTGGAGCTCCACCTCGACACAATCGTCGATGAACCCTATTTTTCTGCCATTGATGCTAAACCTCCAGTAGACCATCGTCGTCAAACCTTCATCATGCCACCATTGATGGGTCTCTCGCCGACTACTATCACCATACTATGGTCCTTTCGACCGCAGTCGCTCGCAGACTACTGTCCATCAGATCACCCTAGCCTATCGACTACGGTCCCTCTGACCATGGTCACCCGTAGATTATGGTCCATCCGACTATAGTCGACCGCCGGCTATAGTCCCTCCAACCACCATCACCCGTCAACTATGATTTCTCTGACCTGAGTCGCCCAACTATGGCCACAAAGAACTCTGTCGTAGGACTATGGTCCTACCGACTAAACGATCAAACTAATATTCTCTTAAGAACGACTATGATATCACTGGATTCTTTCTACTCCTGTATTGTAATGTGTTATATGTGATTTATATTTGAGATATTCAACAAAGGCTTTCCCATGAGGAATGGCACAGTATTTAATAGACTATAAACACTAGTGAAATCATTTTAATTGAGTTAGACCTCGTGGTTTTTCCCCTTTTCAGAATTTTCAACGTAAAATATTGGTGTCTCTTGTAACTCTCGCGCCCCTCTCATTCTCTCTCCCTTACCTGTTTTTATGCAGTATCTTTATTTAAAGCTAAGACGTTATGCTCTTTATATCTCTACCATCGCGAATGTTCTAGGAAACTCAAAATAATCATGTTTTAACAAGAGAAACTCAAAACCAGTAAAAAAAATCATGGAACCACACCACACCGAGAAATCCACTATGAAAATGAGAGAAATTATACAAATATCTCCTCTCACACTCTCTCATTGTCTCTCTTCTATTCTCACATTGTTCTACACTCAAATAAACAAAGCCACACACTAAAATATTTCAAATGATGCAACTCTTCAAGTGAAATAAGAATAACAAAATAAATGTATAACCAAAAGGTAAGAATTACTTGAGTCCTCAAGAAGTGAGTAGTAGGCCAGTATGAAGAAATCCGACCTCAGATCACATAGCATGTCTACGACATTTAAAGCTCTAGATAGATCAAGTCTTTCTACCCACCCAATGCACTTAATAAAAAAAAAAAAAAAAAAAAAAAAAAAAAAAAAAAAAAGACGAAGACTCGTTATCAAAAAAGCTAATATATAGCCATCAAGAGCCTGAAGATTCTGAAGAACATAAAGCGCACTCAACCTCCCATCGTTTTGATTTCGACCTTCAACTACCAAAACTTCCAAGTGATGCTTCATTTGGCTTATCCAATATAGCATAGCAGTCTACATTGGTTGCCATCCCATTCCAATATCTCACAGTTTTGTTAGCAGAAGGTTGTTGGTTGAACCGTCCTTTTAAATCCACTCTTCGCCAATTCCGAGGAAAAAACATTTCCTTTAATTTTAGTGCCCAATTATTAATACTAAACTCCTAAAACAAGCATAACCGCATTATCAACTCATTAGAGAATCTCCCATAGAATTGTTTGTTGTTCTTCCGTCACTTCAATCGAGCGGCAATTCTTACGTCATTTCATCGCGGATGAACAGTGCGATATCAATATTGGCGTTGCACTGTTCATCTTCGTCATTTTTTTGTCTCTACTGAACTTGCCGAAGAAATACGTGAAAGAAGAGAACGATCATTACGGGGCAAAAATGGAGTTCGATTGGAGATGAATCACGGCATTTTAGAGTGAAAAATGAGATTTTCGGTTGGAGATGCCCTTAGATCATTTTCAACCGAACTCCATATCACCTTATGTCGTCCTTCGAACTTCAAATCGCACGTCAAATTCTGATAGGTGAATAGTGCGACATCAATATTAGCATCGGACTATTCACCTAAGTAAAAAAAATTCTCCAAAAATGATTACCTTTGCATGAAGCCCGCAAAAGAAGAATAAATGTTGTTCGATTGGAGAAAAATAACTTCATTTTGAAGTTTTACTATATTTTAGAGTGGAAAATGAATTTTTCAGTTGGAGATGCATTACCAAACAAAATTTCTAAGGACAAAAAAAATACTTGTGTAGAACTATTAATTGTCAAACCTCCTCTATAGTTTTAGGGTCAAGCTTTTGAACTAAGAAATCAGTTTTGATATTATTAATGTATAATCCAAACTTTGCTTTCTACTAAAATAAGCAAAGCACACGCAGAGAGAGAGAGAGAGAGAGGTTATTTTATTTTACCAAATTAAACTAAAGATAAACACAGTATAAATCAAAGTTGTTTCACACACTCGCAAGGATGGATTACATCACATTACTCTCTGTTAAGTTTCAAGGGTTGGATTCTCCGTCTTCAGGAAAGATCTCTAAAATACAGATTCAATCTTTAGCTGAAATCAGTCTGAGATCAATCTTCAACATCCGAAGGCAAGCCCCTTACAGTACAATTCATGAAACGATTCAAGCAAAAACATTTGGTTATTATACCAAAGTAATGCAGGATAGAACTCCATTGAATAATCCAAGCAAAGCTTCTTTCTTATCTCACTTCCATTAACCAATTGAAGTATTTCCCTCAACTGGAAGAAGCAATGCCCTTCCCTTACCTTTCCTTACAAACCAAGTTCGACCACTAGAAACCGATCTCTTCATGCGAACTGGGCTCATGACAGAATGCAAACCTCTGCTTCTACCATTTTTAACCTTCACACGTTCTCCCCTGCCTCGCCTTGAAGGTCCAGCGGCGACAAGCCTATGGCGATCCTTCTCCTTCTTTATCGCCTCAAAATCCTTGATCATATTCTCTTTCTCTTCATCTTCTCTCCTGTCCAAATCCAAATCTCTTACGAGAATAACGACAGACTCCTGCTCATTTTCTGCAGCCGAAGCTGCTCTGTTCTCCCCCCTGATATCATCCTCTAAAGCTAGACTCGGCAACAGGATATTAACTCGGCAGAGTGGGCAGTTTGAGTGAGACCGGAGCCATATGTCAATGCAATGAAGATGAAATGCGTGGCTGCATTTAGGAAGAAGCCGAAGGTATTCACCTTCTATAAACTCGGAGAGGCAGACTGAGCACTCCGTGCCCTCAACGAGCCCCTCCCCTCTCTTATATTTGCAAACTGTGATCTTTCTGATGAGCGCCTCGTCGAGACCATTTGAAGGAGGTAGATACCAACTCTCTTGATGATAATTCTCACCGCCGCTAGCGGTTTCTTCCTCTTCAAAGTTGCCGTTGGGGGTTGAGCGGTGGTGGGAGTGATTAAGGTGGAAGCAGAAGGAACCGCAGAAATTGGTGACGATTGTGTAGTAGGTGACGAGGAGAAAGAAAGTGGCGAAGATGCCGATGATGGCGATGGACATAGGCGAGAAGGCGGTGGCGTGGTTGTTGAAGCTGTTGGTGAGGGAAAAGGGAGGAGGAGGAGGGAAGAGGACGTAGCACCATTGAGGGCAGTCGATGGTGCAGAAGCCCAGGGAGCAATCCCTGCTATTCTCTACTGGAAGCCAGCCCTGTTGATTTTCGTTGTTAGCCATTGTTGTGGAAGTGGAGGATGTTAGGGGATCAGAGAGATGGCCGCCATGGGCATCTTATTAGGTTTTTGAGACTGATTGGGCACCGAGATAGAATGTGACATGTTAACGCTTCTTTATTACCAAAGAGCTTGGAAGAGACGAGCTTTCAAATGTTGATATTATAATAATTAAAATAAATAAACAAAGCTCTTTAATTCAAGAATGTAATATATTTTTAACATGACAAATAATTTGCCGTCTGATTTTTGGGAATAGGCTGAAGATAACGACTCTTGTGGGGCTGTACAAGGATTTGAGTCAAGTAGTATTTCATAAATCCGTTAAATTCGGATTTCGAAAATCGTGAGGGGTCTAAATCCTGAAAACTATTTGGTAATATTCATGATAAATCCTATTAAATTCTGTGTGACTGTTTGGTTATAGAACTTAATTAACGAGCGTACTTTTTTTCTAGAGCCAACAGATTTCCTAAATCCAACAAAAAACAGGATTTCAGAAATCCATAATTTAGCACAAAAGGCAGAATTTTCCGTCTACAACGACTTTCATTTGCCGTGAGATTTGGTTTTGTATTTTAGGCTGTTTGGTTGGTTTTCTCTCAAATTTTCCTCAAATTCGACCTAAATCCTGCTAACAAACAGTTAGGTTAAACTTTGTTAGACGGAAATCTCACAATAAATGAATCCCAAGTTAAAGTTGGTCTCCACTTTTTTTTACTAAATTTTGAATTTATTAAATCTCTTAGTCCGGCGAATGCCGAACAAGTACGCAAAATGGGTGAAAGATCATTATCTTTGTTAGAGAAACATATACAGATAATATCATATACTTTTACTTATGGCAGTATTGTCATTTGCTATACATTAGTCCTATAGGCGGACAGCCTATTCGGCTCTATATATAGCAAATTACAATACTGCCATAAGTAAAAATATATGATATTATCATTATATGTTTCTCTAACAATCTTTGCGACGAACTCCTATGATGACTTCAAATCTAATAGGATGAACGCCCTTGCATGAAGAAAAAAGCTTCCTTAATTTCATGATTTAGCGACTCTTTTAAGACTCGACCTCATGTATAGCAAGTAATTTGGAACTAAGGGAGAATGTGTCATGTTAGGGTTTTGTTTCTTCGGCATTTTTGAGTAAGGAAAGGAAGAGACGCATAAAATTAGCAACACTATAATCCCAAAAATTTTGATAAAACCTCACTCATAGTTACATTTGATGAGAAGAATCACTCAATTTTTTTTCTTGAAAAGAGTGTATTATACTATTCAAAGATCGGGTCTACGGCCGAGTGGTCGACCGAAGAAATTCCTCTCATCTTATCCGGACTTGATTCCCCTAACTGTCCCAAAAAAAAATTACACTATTCAAAACTTAATTCATCCTGCCCTGAGAGTGGGATCTAAAAATAGTTAGATATTTTTTTAAAAAAGCTGTAGCATATTGGAGCTTGAAATTTTGGGATTCGGAGCTCAGTGTTGTTCACTAATTTTAACGCTTGAAAAATAAAAATGATTTAAAAAAATACTGTTGGGATTCAATTTCAGCCATTCCAGCGGCCCAAAAATAAAGTAGATGGAAGAGAATCGAATGTAGATTAACGGAAATAACGACGATCAATCGGGCCGCAGCTCTTTCCGCAAAGAGAGCATTGCATCTGTTCTGGAACAGAGCTATGAGAATTAGATAAAAAATCATTCTCTATAAGCTGACTATGAGTAAGTACAGATGGAGCTAAGTTTCCCCTGTCATTTAAGATTTTGTTTAAGATAGCTTTTTTATTAATTTTTAAAATAATTTTTTAATACAAAAAATTCGTATTCAAAAAGTTTAAGGCTTCGATTGGCATAACTTTTTTATTGCTTTATGAAATAGTTTCTTTAAACAAAAATAATAATTTAGAATTTTATTACTAAAAAATTATTTTATAAAACAGTAAGAAAGCAGTCCCAAACGAATCCTAAATCCCTACAGCTAATGCTTTCCATATGGTTTAAATCAATTGTGCGTTTATGTTTCCATTTATCTTCAGTAGTAAGAATATTTCTTTATGATTGTAACATATCAAAATATTTGTTGTCTTAATCTCAAAAAAATTATTATCTCAACATCATATGAAATGTAACAAATAAATAAACATAATAATCAATACCATATATAAAAATAAATAAATTAGTAAAACAACAGTGAAAAAATCATTCATAAATTACTAAAATAATCTAACCCACCTATTCATATGCATCATATATTCATGTACTATCTAGACATCCAATATTATATGCTATAAATATACTATCAACAATATTAGTGCTATCAATATATGATTTAGCTACGTATGACATCTAGTTTTAATGTGGTGTTTTCACCCTTTCATCTGTATTCATTTCATCATTATCATCTTTGTTATCATTATTTTTAGCATTAATATTTCATATGGCTTTCAATAATCATTAAGATTCATTACCAACTGCCCGTCGGTGTAATCGATCATCAATTACAGACAACATTTGGGATCACTCCACAAATCATCTTTAAATGAAAGTTCATCCATCCACCCTCCTGTGCAACGTATTATGTTTTAACTGCAACCTATTTTATAGTGTTAATATTCAGTCGTTCTTGCTTTTATTGTCAATGACACATTCATTTATATGAAATGCAATCTAAAATGTAATATCTATCAGTAAAATCAATATATTACCTTATAGCTTCAAAAAATCATAATTTTTATTTCGAAATTTTGCAATAAAATTTTGATAAACCAGGAAACAAATTTTTATCGATTTAGGAGAGAAGAAATCTCTTAACATAATAGAAAAAATCATTGAAAACTAAAATGAGATTGGAGTTACTTACAACGAATTATAGAAAATTCTAAACAAAATTAAGGAACAAAAAATCTCTGAGCAACTTTCTCTCTCTTCCCTCTCTTTCTTCTTCGACAAGACACGACGCTGAAATTAAGATTTTTCATTTAAAAAAAATCATTTCGAAAATTCGAGTTATTACACCGAAGACCAAGAAGTCTAACATAAATCCTCATGTTGATGTCGAGAGTCAGAGTTGGTGTATCTAAAATGCATCGACCTTATAGACAATGATTTTGATTGATGTTATTAGCAACATAGATGACGAAGTGAATGGGCGACACTATGGCAAGGTAACAATGGCCAAAGGATTTTAGATTAAATGGAGTTGAGTGATAGTGGTTGGAGTTTTGTAGCCAAGAGGTTGTTGTCGAAGAATTGCAGTCGAAGAATTTTATTAGAAGACTATAGTTGGATGATGGCGGTGGAAGGACCGTAGTCACGTGATGGAGTTCAAAGGGTCACAACGAATTTGTTTTGTTTTAGTGATGTATGAATATCCATCACACAAATCAGTAATTTAAGAGAGAGAGAGAGAGTGAGAGAGAGAGAGAACAATAAAACACCAGATATTTTTTAATGTGGAAAACATGAAGATGGAAAACCACGAGATCTCGCATAAGTGAAAAGATTCCATTAAATTTGAGTGAATTATATAGATTGACCCATCTCGTGACTTAGAGATGGTAGAATTACAATAGTTCAGAGAGTTGGGTGGAAGTCCGATGGGGATTAGGGGGAAGTTCAGCGGCGGTCAGCGTACAAGCAACCTGACGATAGTCAAGCGGGAGTCCATCAACGGTCGACGGTTGGGAAGAAGTCTGGCGGTGGTCAGCAGCCGGGCGGTGGTCAGATGATGGTTGGGCAGAAGTCCGGCAGCGGTCGATGCCAAGTGGAAATCTGACAGAGGTCGGTCATCAGGCGGTTTAGTTGGGCAGAAGTATGACGGTGGTCGTCAGTTAGGCAGTGGTCCAATGATGGTCGGGTGGGATTCCGGTGTAGGTCAATGGCTGAGTGGAAGTCTGACAACAGTTGGCAGCCGAGCAGTGGTCCGACGATGATCAATGGAGATTCGTCGACAATGGTGCATGAGTTATTGGAGCCTCAGAGCTCCCTCTAGTCTCTAGCTCTAGATCCCCTTCATGTAGAGAGTGTGGGGACTACTTATAAATGAGAATGGCAATGCCCCCATAATATATGAGAAATCGGGGGTTAAATGCGGAGTGCTTTCAAATCGCGACGCCCATATTGATCATAGAGCATTTTTCAAGTCTTTATGTGCCTTGTACGATGTCCGAATTAAGCGATCTTGGGCTCGTTAGATTTGTCTCGTCGAGTCACTCGATTTGACTAGAAGCATGCCATATTTGGATATCATTCAACCTTCCAATTGAGACTTTGAACTTTCTAAAAGTGCTCCTGTCACTTGATTTAGAGCCATTTGGGCTCGGATTGGACTGATTTGTGTGTCATTGAGTTTGTCTATTCAAGGCATTCAATTTGACTTTAAGTTTGCCAAAATAAGAATTCGGATGGTCTCGGATTTAATTTTGAATGTTTCTTAATCATATTTCCATCGAGATTCGCATCAGAACAAGGCAATTTTTTGGGATGTATCAATAGTGACTCATGAATGAGAAATGAAAAGAACAAGAAATCATATCTAGTGCACAGAATATAAAAATGTATATTATTTAGAACAATTGTATACCTTAAAATATTTTACCGTATTCATTCTCAGAAAATCATCAATATACAATAGCTAGGATATCAGTACAAGAACTATTCTATCACAAACTCTTAACTAGAATAAGGCAAATTATAAACCCTAAAATTAAAGTAAACCCGAGGGCATAAATTTGACATCAATGATGGACGTGTTTGTTATGGAGGGGCAAGCAAAGAATCAAGTGGGAATTCTAAGGACATCAAATGAAACATATCCATCTCATATGGATCGAGAGATTCATTATCAAGGACAATTGATAACTTTAAAGAGTTGTGGCTAACATGCACTGTAGGTGGAGCAACAAGTGGGGGTCAAGATGAGCAAAAAAAATGGTGGTGATGATGATAATGAGATGATAGAAAACTAGAATTTATTTATAATTTTTGTATATTACATATTTCTAATAATCGAAAGGACTATAATTGTTGGGCTTGCATCAAAGATTTATTTTATTAGATATATTGGTATTTATAATTTAATGTTTTTTATTCTTATTATGGTTATTATATTTGTTCTAACAATGAAGCTTGCTTATAACTCTGATAATGCTAGTGGATTTGTATTCTATCGAATGTATTATTTACAACAAGTTGTAGCCTGAAACAATCTAAGGATCTTCCGGCTTGAAATTGGTATAGGTCGCAAATGTAAGAGCTATATTGTCCAAAATTTGATGCAAAACAATTTTTGGAGATCTTGGTTTTATTTGAGACGACTTTTTTACCGCTTTTTAAAACAACTTTTTAATAAGAAATAATTTTTTTTAGAAATTTATTAAAACAAATCTTTTTTATATACAAATAATTATATATATGCAGCCTAAACCCTAAACTTAATTAGATATTTAGAAATATGTTGATGGTTTTTATTTTAAGATAAAAAAGTCCGAGAGAAAATTGTACCCACATTTCAATAATCTCTTAATTGAAGATTACATTTTGATGTAATGCATTGAAAAGCTCTCTCTATACGACAATCATTTTCAACCATCCCATAGGGCTTGACTAAGGTTTTATAGAAATTCAATTCATCAAAGATAAACTTTTTTAATATTTACCACTACCCAAGTCTTGTTAGCTTGTAGCTTATTGATCCTAAAATATCATTTGTCTTGCAATGCACACCTGCCTTTTGGAAGCTCCTGCACAGCAAAAAGCTAAAGTTATTTATCATGGTTGAATTGAATTGCTATAAAACCTCTAGCTCATAAATTGGAAGCAATATAAATCATCGACTTTATATGGGTGCCGTCATTAAAAAAAAAAATTGTCATTTATTATAAATATTTTAAATTATTCCAATAAATGATATCATAAAAAATCCTTGATTTTTTTTTTTTTTTCAGCTTCAAAATAAATAAGATGAAGAAAGTTTTAGTGAGTAACTTTTATTTGGTTCGGTCACAGGACGTGGCTCTACGTTCGGCCGCTAGTAGAATCGCGCCATGCGTTCTCACTATTTACCGCGCGCCCCGACAACTCGACCAGGAAAGAACCCAGGATGGCTTGGTATTTCTCGATTTTGCTAGGTATTGCTCGGTATTGCTAGGTATTGGTCGATTTTTTCAACGTTGCTCTAAGTCCGATCAGAGGACGTAATAATTGGACCTCAAATAAGCCTTCATACATTTTCTCCCTACATAAGTCCATGTCCCCATTTACAATTTGGTGTTATTGAAGTGTGATTAGTATGGTAGTTTTAAAAAAGAACTTAATACTGATCATCTCTGCCTCGTTTAATTAAATATGAGTTAAAATGTTGAGGATAGGAGCTATTTAATTTGGCTTCACAAGCTCATCATGTTTCCTATGCAATTCATCCATCCAAGCAAAAAGAAAGAGGTGAATAGTGCGTCGTTTGTATGACTATAGCACACAAGGTAGTTACAATATTACATAATTGAATGTTTTATTGAATAATAAAGTTCATTATATTAATAGTTATCATCAAGAAGTAACTACAAGCAAAACAGAGACTATTATTTATTTTGGACATCATTTTTACTATTTTATAAAGCAGTTTCTTAGTATAATTTTTTTTTTAATTTAAAATTTTATACTAGAAAGTTGTTTCATGAAGCAATAAAAAATCTATCCGAAACGAAACTTATGTTCCTTCCATTTAATCTTGATGATTCAAAAATTTTAGTTGATGAAGAAATAATTAATGAATCATCATGAAATTAATAAGATATAAAACATCATAATAATAATAATATATATTTATTTTAAAATTTTGAATATATACACTTCGATGTAGAAAATATTAAAGGCAACCATTATCTCAAAATTTAAAATGGAGGGGGAGCCACTCAACATAAGTTTGACATTAACGATGGATGTGTTTGTTATGGGGGGCAAGCAAAGAATAAAGTGTATGACGTGATTCAATGGGAATTCTAAGGACATCAAATGATGCATATCCATCTCATATGGACCGAGGGATTCACTATCGAGGACAATTGATAACATTGTAGGAGGTTGAGAAGATCGCACAGGCCAAGTAGAGAGAGTTGTGGTTAACATGCACTTTAGGTGGTGCAACAAGTGGGGGCAAGATGAGGAAAAAAATGGTGGTGATGATGATAATTAGATGAACCAACATAAATCTCATGATTGTACGCACAAAAACTAAGGCTTCATTTGAAACGATTTTTTCAATGGTTTCTAAAGCAGCTTTTAGTACAAAAAATTCCTTGAACTAAAATTTTTATAATGAAAAGCTGCTTTAAAAAGCATTAAAAATGTCACCCTAAACGAAGCCTAACTTAGGTAACTATGATGCAACGCAATACAATCCTAATGCAATATCAAGTTTGTAATACAATGACTAAAATAAGACCGTCCATCATATGTGTTGATGATGGAAGTAAACACCGTGATGAAAGAAACAAAATAATTAGAAAAGTAACGAAAAGCAAAAAACACCAGGATTTAACGTGGAAAAACTCAAAATAAGAAAAAAAAATGATAGAGCCATACCGCAGCAAAAAATTTACTACGAAAATGGTGAGAGATAAATACAAATATATCTTCTCTCCCTGCTTCTCTTCTCTCTTACACAATTCGCACACACTAAAACACAAGAGAAAATCAAGTAAACTAACTCGAAGGGCCACCACCCTTTAGAATAATGAGAAAGAAAACTGTTCAATCCGTCTCACAGCACCGCATTGCCAGTTTGGAGTGTTGTGGTGCTCAAACCCGCAACGCTACAGTGTCACATAGCGTTGCATTGTCAAATCTAGAGCGTTGCGACACTCTGCTCTCTATCGTTTCTCCCAGCAAGCAGCAGGGCACTCTTGTTCACAGTTCTGGTGCATTGTAGGGGGGGGGGGGGGGGGGAATTTTGAAGCAGGGGATAAACCCCGCACCCCCAGAGAGCACAAGAAATTGACTTGGGTCCAAGGCAACAATACAATCCGATTGATTAACACAATCAAATTTCACACAGAACTAACAATAAGGTAAGCTACAATAGCATCATGAGCTTGTTATAACACCAATGATGCGGCTTCAAAATCAAAAACATAAAATAAGATTCATTCAAATCCCTCAATGTCTCTCTATCTGCCTTCCATGATTTAGGAAATTCTACCGCAATTATGTAAACAGTTCAACATATGTTTATTACAGTAGAAATGGAATCTAATATAGTGTTAAAAAAGCTAGTAACAAAAATGCACCTTCATATTGTAGGAGTGTACCTTTGTAGCAGTACATACACTTACACCTCAACAATACCACACGCTGTTTTTTATTCCTTGTGAAACACAATCGGCATTGCACGCAAGTTTTTTTTTTTTTCCCAATATAGTTTGAATGTGTAAATGCTCAATAATGGATATAGATTGCAGAAAAGAAATGAATAGAATTGCAGCTACCTTTTCTGCTTAGCTTTTGAAACATAAGCAAACTAATTATCTCAATGAACAAATCAAATTCATAAGAATAAGTTCAGGATCCACTCACGTAAGTTACAAGAAGATATGGAAAAGGTGGGCTTCGATATTAATACCAGTAGAAATGTGGTGCAGAAAGCATAACTAATAACTGATACCAAGTAGAAAATGTTTCTCCATTTCAGCTTTCTACTAGCTCTTGCTTTGTTTACTGCAAGCGAAAACCATAGAACTCCAACTTTAACCAGTATGGGGCAATATTGCCATCTAGCTTTCAAAATACAACAAATTGCCATTTCATTTAGTCTTCTGCAGTGATTTCAGGTTCATCGATACTATCCTTTTGACTGATTTTCAGCCTAAGAGGCCTTCCCATAAGCTCCTGAAGCAGCCATATTGAGTTGATTAGTTGAAATCAGTAAAACAAGTGGCATTTAGGCTCTGTCGGCATTATTGTGCTAAGCTGTTCTATGGAATAAAGAGGAAAACAATTTAGAAAGATAATAGTCTAAAATATTATAAGAATTCTATTTGTTTGATTCAAAACTCTAGAAGCACTAATAGGAGTATTTAAATGAATGAAATAAATATTATTATAAATTTTCTAACTATAATATGGTAAATTAATCTTTAATAATGTATGATTAATTAAAATAACTGCTTTCTTTGGGAAGCCATCAAAACCATTGTTATAAAAACCCATTTTTAGCTTTTAATGACCTATATATTCTACTATAGGCAGCATACTCCAGACCAGCCATCAATTTCTATTTAGCATAGTTAAAATTAAATACTTGTACATAAACTTAGGGATGTGAGACCAAATGAATCATAAGGTTACCTTCCCATCCAATTCAGAAATAGCAGCCACTACTTCTTCATTTGTGGCAAAAGAAACGAATCCATATCCAGCAGATCTCCCAGATGAGCCATCAAAAACCACTCTAGCAGATACTGGTTTGAACTTGTCAGCAAAAAACTCCCTAAGATTGACAGACCTTACTTTCCAAGCAAGATTTGATACATAGATCCAGTTTCTTGTTTCTCCATTAGTAGAGTTTGTAGGTGCTAGAGTAGAGTAGGGTTTCGTAAAGCTCTTTGCAAGTTCAACTCTAATGATCCTTCCTAACAATTCCTGCAAAGGATAATAATATTGACTGTGACAAAACTTGAGAAATAAAAATTATATAGTTTTCAAGATAAATAAATTCATCCACTAAACAACCCAAGGCTAAGAATCATAAGCAATACTTTATCATTATGGTAACCGAATAAACATAGTCAAGAAAACTTCTGCAACCAAATAGATGAATATCAAACAATACAACAACAACAACAACATCAAGCCTTTGTCCCACTATGTGGGGTCGGCTACATAAATCCTTTTTCGTTATTGTGTCATGTTAAAAGTCAAATTCTCATTTAAATCTAATAAAGAAAGATCATTTCTAATATTTTCTAACCAAATCTTTTTAGGTCAACATCTACCTTTCTTAACATAAGTCAAATCTAATACCTCAACTTTTCTAACCAGGTCATCAGAAGACCTCCGTTTAATGCATTTACTTTAATTTGCATTCACTTTTCTTCCAACCAAGTAGCCCCCTTAATGACAGAACTAAGTTGGTTATTTTCAAAGTAATTTTTAGACATTTTAAAATTTTGAAAACATTTTTTTTTTAAAACTAGACTAGACCCAACTCCAAGAAACCGTAGACACCCCATTCCTTCTTCATTAGTTTTTTTCCATTACTATTAGCTTTATATTTCATGTAATCAATTAGATCATGCTATACACATTATTGGGGTGATTCAATTATTGTTTATAAATGTATTCTAAATTTATAGAAGTTTGTAATTTTGCTTGGTAATTGAAGGAGAGAAGAGATCAAATCGCTGGCTAATTTCATTAAATTTTTGTTGCACATTTTCTTTAGCAAAAAAAAAAAAACATTAACTTATCAAAAGGGCCAAGTTGCTAACTCTATTACATTAGCCAATATTGAAATGCACTCCAACAACAGTCATTGCCTCTCCAATACTCTCTACAACCAGCCCAATCAATCTCAGCCAATGAAAAAAAACAATGTCATCCAATCGCAACATTTGATATAAAACAACCTCTGCCATCCAGGACAAAATAGACTTTGTTTACTCATATCAGAAGCTATATTAAATAAGCCATACACATCTATAGTACAAATGAATTACTTTGCTCAGTGAAAAACAACAAAACTCTTCCATAAAAATATGGCATCGGGGAATATAACACCACAAATTTTTTAGAATTTATTTTCTCAATGGGTATTCAACATCAATTCAGTATTCTTTACATCCTAGAACAAAATAATGTCACTAAACAAACAAACAAAAAATCATCACCTAACTGAAACTGTTCGCACCTTGTTACTTGATATTGATCTTCCTAATCTTCTTTGGATTAGTACTCTGCGCATCATTGTCTATTTAATTATAAGGTACCCTAAAAAGAAAGTAACATGTATTCTCCTTATGATCTACTTACATAATAAACCACACCAATATTCTCATCTCCGAGCATTTGGCTGCAAATGCTATCTCTTAACCTCGTTCACCATAAGTCCTAAATTCACTATCTTAAATTTTTGTTTGCTAAGCTTCATCTTACCATGGCCACAATTCTATCACAGGCAAGGTTACCATTTCAAGCTATATTAAATTTGATGAAACTAGCATGTTTCCATATCGTTCCCCATCTCTTCACATTTCTTCTCCACAACTCACAGCTCATGTGCCAGTTACTCTCGTTCTTGCATCCAGACAACTTCTCCTCATTTGCCTCACCCAATCATCCTTCTATATTAGTTCTAATAAATCATCCAACTACCAATGCTATCTCAAACGCATCCACTTCTAATTCACTGCCACTAACCTATCCACTGCAGTCGATCTATAATCCTATCTCTTCTACACATTCTATGACTATCAGATCTAAGATAGATTCTCTAAACCCAAATAAATATCAATCTCATGCCATACCATTCACTCCCCAACCAACAGCAAATAAAATATTTGAATGGAGAACCGCCATGTCTCAAGAATTGCATGCTCTTCAAACTAATGGTTTCTTCAAGGAAAACTTGATGGGTCAATTTACATCGCTCAACCTCCAAACTTTAAAGATCAAAATTTTTCCATTTTATCTTTCTTTTAAAGAAAGTCATTTGTGATCTGAAACAAGCTTCACGACAATGGTTTACAACTCTATCCAGTCAACTCCAACAACAAGGTTTTATATTGAGTACTATTGAAACATCTTTCCTCATATATAATCATTAACAGACAATAATCTATTTACTCATCTATGTTAATGATATACTTCTTAGTCACTCAGTAGCTACAATCCAGCAGCCACTTATGCCTTTACAATTTCCATAGTAGGCTTCATATGAAAAAAAAAAGTTAAGTAATATTTCTTAATGTATTAGTACTCAAGTTAATTCCATAACCATTGGCATCACTTTCAGTTAGTCAAAATACATTACCTAAATACTCAACAAAGCAAGTATGCTTGACTAAAAACCCTTTGCCTTTCCACTCCAATCAAAATATTTTTCAAATCAAGCATCCAACTCAATTTTCTCTAATCCTAAACCCTATCACTGCCTTACTAGCTCTCTGAAATACCTCACCATCACTAGACCAAACATCTACTTTTAAGTCAACAAGATATGTCATCATATGCATCAACCACTCAAATATCATTTTCAACTAATCAAAAACATAATTTATTATATCAAGGCACGCTCAGCCTTGGTCTTGTCATCCACAAAAGGAATCTTACTCTGACTCCGATCAAGCTGATGACTCCTCTGATAAAAAATTCACCATCGCATATTGGTCATACTCTTATCTCTAATATGCTAAAAAATAGTTCACAGTGGCAACATCTTCCATCGAGGTAGAGAATATCACTCTCTCGCCATAACTGCCACTAAAGTCATTTAGCTTCGCAAACTCTTACATGAATCTTTAATTTCACTAGACACACCGCTCTTATACTAAAAAAATACCTTTGTTATGACGCTTGCTATGAACCCAATATTTCATACTCACACCAAACATATTGAGATTGAAAACCACTTAATTCATGAGTATGTTCTCTCCAAAGCAATTTTCGTGTATTACAAATCTTCTCAAGATCAACTTGCTTATATTTTATCAAGGCTCTTCCTACGACTTGCTACACTCAGCTCCACAGCAAGTTGACGATTCAAGAACCAATCATCAACTTGAGTGAAGATGACGATACTACTGCATTAACCAACACTAAAAAGCACTACAGCAACAGTCATTGTCTCTCCACAACTGTGCACAACCAACCCAATCAAACTCAACCATTGAAGCGCAATAACTTCAGCAACCAATCTTAGCCATTGAAACAAAACAACCTCTACCATCCAATGAAGAATAGTCTTTGTTTAATCATATCAAAAGCTGTATTAAATAGGCCATTTACATCTACTGTAACCCAGACCATTCATACCAGATTAAATGTGCAAAATGTTGGTTAATAAAAATGCATAAGAAGGGCCAAGATAAAAAAGATAAAAAAGGTAATTTTTCTTACAAAAGAATCCAATTTATCGATTGCAACTTGAGCCTCCTCCGGGGAAGACATGGCAACGAAAGCAAATCCTCTGCTCTTCCCATTCTTCTGCTTAATTATCTAAAAAACGAAATTCATCAAGCATAGAACATCTTACTTCGCATAGGGATAAGAATTGCGCTCACCTCCACATCATGGACGTGGCCGAACTGGCCAAATAGATTCTGGAGATCAGTGGCCGAATAGTCCCACGGTAAATTCGCCACGTAAAGTTTTCTCCGATTAACGTCATCGTCTCGGTTATTTTCCTCGTATTCCTCGGTTTCTTTCGCTGCAACTGCAGTACCGTGCGCCTCAGAGAACACCCAGAAGCTATTCCGCCGATTGGTGCGGTGGGTAGCGGCTGAGAGTTTAAGAGAGATGGTACGCACGAGAAGAGGAGCGCCGAATTTCACGGAGTTCGGGTAAACGTTGGATCTGGGAATCCAGGAAGAAAAGTTTCCCGGCGTCGTCATCGTCGCTGTCGCGGTCGCCGTCTCCATGTTAATGAGGTAGGGTTCAGGCGTCGGGGAACCTTCCGTTAGGAGGGCGGGTTTAATAGTGTTTTTTTAAGCGCTGAATTGCCGATACTACCATGTAAACTTGGATAAGGTCACTCTTTGGCGCCATTTAAGCATCTCATTTTCCACTCTAAATTATAATAATACAGTAGCTCATTTCCAATTAAGTTATATTTCACAGTATCAAAAAAGATATTATGGATATATTATTTTCTTCAAAAAAAAAAATGTTTGTGAATAGTGCAACATTAATATTGATATCGCACGGCTCACCTCATGAAAATGCAACTGAATCTTATGTTCGATTATAGCTTTCAACAGACATAATACGCCCGTTTCCGTTCAGTTGGTGATGACCTTATTCACCCGCTTGCAAACCAGTAAGGTTAAAAAGTGTCATTTAATAAGTATGTAATGATAGTTTTGGAAGTATGATGCAAACCTATATATGTCTCACAAAATTTTTAATTCTCAAGTCAGTGATTATGAGAGTTAGAATTTTTTTAAAAATTAATTTTAAATCATTTTAATTTTATTTTTAGTATATTTACAATCGAAACAGCGCAACTTGATAGGATTAATTGGCATTTCAATAATATTTAGACTAAACTTAAGTCCTCATGAGTATAGTTAAATATTTATTTAGGTTTGTGGAACAAATATCATCTAATATTTATATGCTTATAGTAAAAGATAGCATAATAATAAAGTCAAGTGGAGAAGCCCAAAACTTCAATTCGAGTTATTCAAGTATAAGGTCCAAATAAGATATTAAATGATCAAAATGATCTCTTAGAAATGCTCATGAGAGTGTTCAAATTTTTTATAGAAAAGATAAAAATATTTCCATTAAAAAAATTATAAATAGATAAAAATCTTATATATTTGAGGGTCTTCTAGCAGATAGAACTCTTAAATTTAAAGAGTTTTAGAGAAGTGACTACTATTTAAAATCATAATCAACTATATTTGATATTTTTCATGTCTAGATAGCTCATTTACATCTCCTAGGTACTCTTCCCAAAAATTGGGAAGGCAACAATCATGCCGACCAAATTCAAACTCCTAACTTTTGATGATGACATTCATCATCATCATAGACTAATTTTTACATCCATTATCATTATCAGTTGACATCGCATCCACTATCAACTAACTAACACTAATAATATTAGGCAGCCATATTTTAATAACTAACACTAAAAAACACTTGTCACTTGTCCTTTGATGCCTATTGTCAATCAACACTAGCATCCATCATAACCCATTCTCTCACAGTAACGCTCACCACTACCATTGATAGATTCCAATGTCAATTACCACCAACTATATGCTCACCAACTCCATCACCATATAATACTCTTGAACATCATTGCAAGAGATAGTCCAAATCCTATAATTTCACAAACTTCATCAATATGAAAGGGCCTATTTTTATAATTGTAAACTTATATAGTGAAATCCTTTCAATTAGTCATTACATTATAGTTTTTTCCAATATCAAATGTTTATCTAAAAATTCATGTCTCTTATGTGATGTGGAATATTTATCCACGTGAACCCAAAATTTTCCTATAATACTTAAATGATGGTCTTCCTCTTTATTATCATGTATTCTCATATGCAATATTTTTGTACTGTATGTGATAAAGCTCATCACATAAATTTTTATGAATGTGGATCTCTAAAAATTCTTTAAAATAAGAGTATTCTAGGCAACATTAGGTCTAACTCAAACAATGTGCCATATTGGCGGGCCTCATCAATGCTCTTAAGAGGGATATTGTCAAGGGAATGTATTGTAGTAAATTTGGGTCATTTAACTACAACCTCAATTTAGTAAGTCAAGTTACAGATTTAACCTGTTAAGCTGGCATGATAGGACAAGTTTTTTTTTTTTTGTTTGTTTGTTTGTTTTTGAGACTTCAAGTGAAACGATATCCAAAGGAAACTTCATCAATTAAATCAAGTATGCTAACAATAACTTAGGAGGGTTGATATGAAGATATTCAAATCTATTAAGACCCCATCAACCAAACAATTAGATCAAATTTGGATGATTTAAAAAAGCAAGTAGACAATAAGCTTTGTAAAAGCATTATAGGCTAAATTTTATATTTGAAAAGGAGGGCTTGATTTTATATTTGTTAGCTGTCAATATGCTCGTTTTTAGATCAAATAAAAGGGAGGTTAATTGCAATAAATTGTATGCTTCATTATTTTTTCAGTACTTCTACGTAAATTTTGTGATATCACAAAATTTAATTTTCTTGTGACTTACTTTATAATTCTGATGTTGATTATATGTTAGAAAAATATATATTTTAAAAAGTATATTTAGCCCATGCCCATTTATATATGTAATCTTTATTTATATTTTGGCCCTCTATAAAGCAAAAATTCATAGCTTTTTTAGTGTTGAGACTAATGTTTCGCTTGAAACAGTTTTCATACTGTTTTATAAATCAGATTTTAGTTAAAAAATTTTTTGAAAAATAAAATTATATACTAAAAAACTGTTTTAGAAAGCAGTAATAAAACAATTAGACACAAAACTTCAATATATTACTATATGAAGCTATTTTGCATAGATGCTTTGGCTAAACTAAAAAAATAGAAGGTCACCAAATTAAGAAACCGAGGCACTATAACTTAATCAAAATCTCTAAGATTAGACACCATTTTATTTTATATCTTATCTATAAAGGAGATGTAGAAATTAAATATTTTAAATTTTTGAGAAATTTTATAAATCTTACTCTAAGGAAATTTTTATAATTTTATAATCTTGATTGTATTAATGCTTTAAATAAAAAAAGTAAAATATATTACAATTGTTTTCTTCAATTTAGCATTTTCTTTCCAATTTCATCAAAATTCAGAGAGATATTTATGTTGGATTTCTATGTTTATATTTAGGCATATTTTAAGAGATTATTTTACACCTCCATTATTATTTATGATATTTGTGAGTTTGTTTTAAAGATAATACATATGTGATTAAAAATATTAATATTATATATTAATTTATTTAATAATATTATATTGTATATTAATTTAAATATATTTATGTAGTGTATATTAAAATCGAACAATTTTGAACAATTTTATAAATATTAGATTGATAAATAAATAAGTAGGAAAAAGTTGACGTTTGATTCATTATAATTATGAATAATATCATTTAAATTTTTTGATTAATCTTGTTAAGCAATTCAATGATGGCTCGATAATATGATCATTTTAAGAATCGATTACAAATTTATTTATTATGTTGAGTCTTATTACTTTTTTATATTAGATTATTTTTGTTCATGGACACAAATCAAAATTTTTATTTATTTAATAGTTCATTCAATTAAAATATTTTTAAAAATCTCAATAGGTTGCACATTAATAGGCTAGCTTGAAAAAACTTGTCAAGATAATTATCAAACTGCTCGATAGTGTTGCTCGCTAAAAAACTCGACAGTGCTCCTTTGATTAACTAAAGAGCTAGGTGAGCTCAAACCAAACTCAAACAATCATAATTTCAAATAAACATAGCTTGAACACTACTAACATACTCAAATTGGGCTCAAACTCGAGCAAGCTCAGCTAGGTAATAGAAAAGCATGATCTTTATTCAATAAATTAATCAGAGCAGTTATCTTTCTTTCCAATATGTCTTGTGATGCGGAGCACTTTAGTCTAAAATGATCCTTAGGATATCTTACAAAGAACCTTCTAGTTTTCTCTAGTTTCCTACCTAAAGTATTATATATATATTGTGATGTAAGAAGAAAAGAGGCATTGAATGATAACAACTCTTTTGAAGCTTTTGAGAAAGCTCTTTTCTTCTTCCCTGGATTGGGAACTCCTTGAAATCCTTCTTGCAGGTATCGACTTCCGACGATCCACTACATCATCTTGCGACTTTATATGAAGATGAATCTTTCTGAGGATCTGCAACCCATTCAGATTATGCCCCAGTTGATTTGGTAAATAAATGATAGCATTACAGTGGTTTCTCTGAAGACATCAATCCAATTTAGCCTTTTTTTTTCAAATGAGAAGTGGATCTCCCACTGAAAAGATGAACACATTTTTACTACGTTATATGACAGCTTAAGCAAAAGATGAGCTTAAAGTATTAGAAAGTGAGGAAACATCATAGATTCTCCTTTAATATAGAGGTTTTAAAAATCATATCAGATCGGCCGGTTCAACCGGTTAAACGGTGACCAGTCTGCCAGCCGTTTGGTTCTCTCTCTGAACCGTTCCTGAAGAAAACCGCGAAAAAATCAGGTAAACTACTGGTCGGACAGTTAACCGGAAAACCAGAGCCGATTTTCAAGAACCGCCCGGTTCAAATAACGCACAATTTGAGCGTCAGTTTTTAGTAATTGCGCGATTCATATTCCACTCCCTTACCTCCACTTCGTTCGTGAATAGCAGAATAGTCCACTTGCCATTACTTCGTCTCCCTCTCAACGTGCGCTCTTCATTCGTGAAGTCCACAAGCTCATCTCCCTAATGAAACGAAATGAAGATAGCATTCATCTCTGGCATCGCAATCCCTTCTTGATATTGTGGGATGTAAGTTTTTTCTTTTTTCTGTTTGTGTTCAAGACCTTCCCTACAAATGTCATATATTTAATTCATGTGGCCCAAATTAGTGCTTTCAAGTGTAAAAGGTTGTACTTGAAATGGCATGTGCGATTATACAAAGTCGATCTCAATAGTTTTATCCATTCATGGCTTTCGTAGGTTTTTAGATTTGAATTGCATAAGTTGATTTTTTTTTTTTGAGACGGTGTGAAGTGCTGCTTTATTAAGAATTATTGACTTGGGAGCCCTATTGTTTGCGCTTATTATTTGATTTGTGCAATGTCTTAGTTTTAGCTTATAATGTTATAAGAATGATGGTTGATACATCGTCAAAAAGATTGCTTTGATCGAGCACGAATCTTGAGGCATATTCAAGTTGGAAATTTTCAAAATTAAATTTGGGATCATCTGAATTCCAATTTCAACAAATTTATAGTCAAATTGAACATCTCAAAGAGACGAACCAAAACAGCAACCAAAGATTAAGTC